TAAGGATATCAGTGACCCTCTTCATACAAAATTGCACATTTATGAGCATCGCGATCTGAGCATTGGTATGATTTTTAAAATTTCAAATATGATGCGTTCTTAAATGATAGAGTAAGTAATAGACAATCACTCCCTTTAGTATTTCCAAAGGATGTAGCCAAACGTGCCGGATTAAGCAAGCAGGCTTCACACTGATTTGATTTTCTGCGAGCGTGTGGTCACTCCTTCTGAGATAGCATGTGTACAGTAGTGAGAGTGGGGGATGGGCCGAGTGGGGGTTGATGCAGCACTGTACACTCTCAGCACGAGAGCGGCAGAGAGATGGGTGGGTCGTCCGCTGGAAAGAGCACTGCAGCTCGATGATGAGGCTAAATGTTAGTGTTTGACGTTGATGTTTTTTGTGATACGCCAAACATGACGTACGTATGTTAAGAATTTTAATTGAAAGGGTTGGGAGAAATAATAGACAGAGGGAACTCATGTTGATTTCCCTCATAATATACGTGTTTTGAAATATACACACACTGTCTCCTTGCTGCCCACCAGGGTTACAGACTCTGTTTATTGTCAGGAGAGAAAGTGTTTGTAGGAGGCTGGAAAAACACTTGTGGTTCGTCAGGTGATGTGTTTGACTTGGTTTTAGGAGTGTTACTTATAAGTGGACAGGTGAACCCATTACCTCTGGTGGCCAGGTAGCAAAAGTCCATTCACGACAATGTTACAAAGCTCGTTGTTTGAGATTTTGAAAATCCAAATTCTTTTAGAAATTAGTCAAACAATTTAGACATTGGTTAAAAAAAAGTCAGAAGTAAATTCCACTGCAAATAGACAGTGGTGAGATACTTCAGAAGCCATGAAGTAGGACTGGACTATATGGCTAAAATCTTCTACCCTAGTATGGGTATCGTCATATCTCAATGATGTGTATGACATATAGCATGTTTTCTAGTAATTCAATAGATAAATGTCTATATGAAATAACCACATGGTTTTATGTCCTTTTCATTTAATTAAGAACTTAAGAGCAAAATATTCTGATAAAATCGAGTCAGTATGTGCTTGTTATTATCAATTTGGACGACGTTATTGTGCATCACGATATATGATCTCATCACAATACGATTCCAATGAAAGACGATAGATTATCATATTGAATTATCGCCCAGCCCTACCATGCAGTAATGTCGGCTAACAGCAGCCGTGGTGTTTAATGTAGTTACGGATCCAGCGGCTCTGCCAACTTCACTACATCGTCAATGTGGCGTCCTCCTTCTACAATTTAGGTATGGTATTGAAAACGGTATTCATATTCTGCTTCAAGCATTGACACTGGAAAATTAGGTTACATGTTTATAAACGTAAAATTAGAATTTCTCGGTGTTTGTTTTCAGTCGCATATTTCTGTCAGTTTCATTTGTCTCACAATATTGAAGGAAATGCACTGTGACATGTCCTAGCAATAATGACAAGGGGGTTCAGTGCATCTGTGCTTAGGCTGAAAATGAACCTTTTGGCTACACTTCCAACACACGTAGCGGCAGCAATAAGCAAGAAAGAGGGTTTTTATCACGCACAATGTTCAAAGTGACGTGTACAGCATAGGTTAAGGTTAGGAATCGGATTTAAGGAGGTTAAGCTGATCGTAGATCTGTGGGATTTCTTTTTCTAAGTGCTGGTGGAAAGGGTGCGGCACACTCCTAATAATTCCTTTCTTCCCTTTTCTGATTGGCTAGAGATCTGGGTCATAAGCAGGCTTAAGTCTAATTCATGCTTTCTGTAGCTGAGTGACATCAATGTGACCTCAACTCCAAGAGAACCTGTACGGACCCTCTTGCGGATGTCCGCGTGCATTCCAAAATATGTGATTGCACGGGCTGCTCACACTAGAAGTGTGTTTCTGAAAAAGTCAACTGTTTTGTGCGCTGTATGTACTGTCTTTACCATCCACGGTGTGCAGCAGCATCTGACGTTTTGATGGTCTGCAAAATCCAATTGAACCTAAATTAAGCCTGAAATTTAAGCAGCGTAAGTCAGTCTAAAAATATCACTTGGCCAAGAGGAATTTCTCTTCTATGTACTTGTAGCTTGGTTGAAAGCTGCTGTCCCAATGTATGGGAGGTTTGCCATGTGCATAAGCACAATTGCAATCTTCTTTTGTTTCTTTATCTGTAACCAAGCCCTCCCCGAGACAAATTGAAGAGTCGGTATGTAAACAGTATTTTCTCTTCATGAAAAATATGCTTCAGTACAGTAAAAAAAAGTCTTAATAATGTCCCTATGCATAAGAGAGTTATGAGAAAAATGAATGGCATCGTATGAATGGAAAGAGAACTGAATTTCACATTCATACTGCACTTAAAAGATATGTTTGAGTTATGGTTTGAAACATGTCTATACAATAAATATAAACTAATATATTTGCAATAATATTGATGGTGGACGGTTTAATTTCTTATTCGGATGTTTTCTTGATTGTTCCCAATTTCATGGCTAAAATTGGAAATGCATTTAAAGTATTCATTTGTATTTTGTAGCTAAGAAGTTGCTGCGCCCATCTCCAGAACAACGTTGATTTCATTTGTCATTTAAGAAAAGACCCATCATGCTATTTAATTTTTCATTTCAACATAGCTCAGTGAGCTGAGCCTTCACTCGGCTATAAATCACCTGGAGGCAAGCCACAGTATGTGTTTGGAGTAAATTAAATATAACAAGCCAACAAGGGTTGAAAATAGCTAAAAGGAATTTTGAATCATCATTCTCCTCATATAGAACAAGATGATTGACATGAACGAGTAACTCTCCCAGTAAAGGAAAGATATGCAATAATAATTCTGAATAACAAACTAAATCTTCTAATTAGGCTCAACGACATGTTGTCAATGAATCTGGGCCTGTAGATGTACTCCCTCCCATTTTTGCAATGCTCGCCTTATTAACCTGATATCTTTGTCCTGACTGAGGTTTTGATATAATTAGGTGTTATGCCCGCTGGCAAATAATACTGGGCCACTTTTTTCTTTTTCTCATTATCAATTTGTGCCTCTGTACCCCATGCTTGTATTGTATCTGGGGGCTGATCACTATAGAACTAAAGCAGATATGTGTAGTAGTAGCTCATTTGTTGCCCAATTCCCTCTTCAGTTAATTAATTGCTCAACGTTCCTTCAAAGAGGAAAGACACACCTGAAAAAGCTGAACAGTACAGTGTTGTTTCTGCATCCAAAAGTGTAAATAAGTGTAGGACACTCAATACAGTGTTGTTCTATTCCATATATAGTTTATTTAAACTGCGGCCATTATTCAGTTGTTATGCTCATTTATTTTGTAGAGCATGCATGACAGCTATACTCGCTATCAATATTTTATACTTTGCACATGTAGGCAGCTTGCTCTTCTAAATTTAAGTTGCAGGTTCAGTGCGAAGAGGTTCCCTTCATAAGTCACTACGCCACACTATGATCTGCCAGTAGGAACGTGTTAATATTGCCTCAAAGTCATGGTTTACATTATGACGCATTTATTTTAGTTTTTTTTTAAATGCCCGAAACTGAATTCCTGGAGAGTAGTTTGATGTCATGGCGCTGTTCTGTCAAATGAAAGTGGATGACCTACTTTTCCTCTCCCTGCCTCTGAAAAATTTCAGAAATAGGATTGGATAGCTTCAGCTGAAGTCCTGTGCACTAACCCAGAAACAGACTCGCGCTACAGCTATAGGCAAGCCCCCCCCCCCCCCCCCCCCACCCCACCCCACACACACACACAAACACACACCCGCTTTATGTTTGGCTGTTGAAAAGTGGGTGGGAATTTGTAGAGAGGCAGAGCCAGGGCATTTGAACAGATGACAGCTTTTATTGAATTCACTGTGAGTTTAGGAAGAGAGTGGACGATAAGGGCTCACATATATTTTGTTCACTTGTTATCTGTGAAGACCTACTGTAAGTAGACAACCAATTCAACACATTTGGCTAATTTAACTTGTGAGAATCCTTTTGATAAATGCTTAAATGAGACTATGGCTTTAATTTTCAATGCCTGCAAACGCACGTGTGTTTTGCATAGTGTTTTAACAGCTCATCTATTATGTTTTCTGTAGTCCGAGTGGTTTGATTCATGACTTTTTTTTGTTCTGTTAGTGCCGAGCACATTTGGAATAACGCTCAATCAAGATGCACTTCTGTAGACAGATGTTACCTCTGACCTCTTTAGCGCTTGTTTTAATGCATGTCGTGGTTTGGGATTGGTTACGCTGCTGACCCTGCGGCAGTGAGCAGACATTGCACTCTGTGTTAATGCACTGTTAAGCAAAGTCCTACGCAGCATAACACATTGTATCTTTCAAACAGCTGGGACTGGAGGATACCACGATCTCATCGATGATGCACATGAGATTATTCCACGAGATAGTAAATGTGATTTAGGCTGTAAGTTGCTTAACTGTAAACTCTCATTCAGTGGGCTGAAGATTTAGTTTTTGGTAGAATTCCCGATCTGCAACAGTGCACAGGATACTTTTACACCACAGTCTTGTTTCTGGCAGTTTCTTTTACGGCGTTGCAGCATGAAGTCACTCCCAACTCTGTAGGTGCTTTAGTTGCCTGGCAACAGGAGGATGGAGTGCATGCATTTCCTGTTGAAGTAAAAACCTGCGATGAAAGCTGATGATATGCTTTTTGATAGAAGCAGGTGGTTTGCTTACATTGCCAAGATGAAATGGAGAGACGAGCCTTGGTGAATGGCTCTAACTTACAACACTTTATTTTGGCTCTTAGGTGGACATGTTGTCTTCAACAGTGATTTGTTTTACGTCTCTATTCTGCTGCTGTTGGTTTCAGCATGAAGCCATAATTTAAGTATATGTATGTGTATGTGTGTGTGTGTGTGTATATATAGCTGCATATTTATTGAATTTCATGTCTTTCCAGGTTTTGAGAGTATTCTCGAAGGTCTGTCTGGTCCAGAGCTGGTAGAAGACCTCGCATTATTTAAAGGTAAGAATCTCAGACCATTTTCAATTTCAGGAATAGTGGCCATGCTCATATGGATGACATAAATGAGAATTTTGTGGCTCAAGCATTATGTGTTTATCTGGTCATTATGACAATGCTGCTGCTTTGTACCATCTGGTACCCGTCTACATTCACTCTACAGACAGCCCCTCTGGCTGCAGAAGAGACGACGCCTTGTGTTCCTACAAAGTTAGTATTTTGGATGGCGTGGGGCCAGTGTAAAAGTCTACAGTGTCCTACAGACATTTTCACAATACATGTTAGTGAGACAATAGTGGACATTATTTGGGTTTTCATTATATTTGCAGTGAGAGGACTGTCAAAGTCTAAAGTAGACTTTCTACAACAGCAGTTTGGGATGATTGCTGCTGATAATTATGTTGAACTGAATCAATCTGGTTTAGTCAGTCTCACTAAAACGCGTCTAAACACTTCAACAGGCATTGGTTTGAGCTTTAAAGGGGCTATAAATACACATTGTTTAGAGATTTTGTCACACAATTGTATTTCATTTCCTGTCCTCTGTTTTATGTCCATAGACTTTGAGCCTACAGCAGTGTCTGACTGGTCATTTGATGAAAATTGTCTTTTCTGTTGTTTGAGACGAGACAAAGTAAAGGTAAGATTTCTTGTTTTCTCGATTTTGGTGTCTTTCAGAACTTTATTCAGTTGTAGAAAGGGGAAAAAGGCAGATGATGAATGTTAGGAGTGCTATAAATGTGCCCATGCTCTCTAATCCTTTCATAGCAGAATTTGTTGCCATTACTTACATAAAGTTAGGACTGAATAAAACAAACTTAAAAAAAAATCTCCCATACATTGTTCAGTTTACATGTATTCTATTTAAGTCTGAAGACCATTGATCTAACAGTTTTGTCATTTTACAGGAACACTTAATTGGCTTAAACAACGAGGAGCTTGAAGATGCACCCAAACCTCTCCTAGTTAAAGATCTCGCCTCAATAAGCAGACTAGAGAAACAAGCCGAGGAGTTTCTCAATGCAGTCCTCAGCAGAAAAGGTGAGTCTCCATGTCTCAGTGAGGGAGTGGGCTTATTAGTGCAACAGCATTTTGCATTATGACACTAATGACTAATGACTTATGAGAACCTGCCTGCAGACAAGACACTTAAGCTTTTATTGTTAATTATGAATGTTAATGTTCTACGCATGAATTATAATTGCTACAACTACAGCACTTATGGCCTTTGGAATATTGCTTTAGCATGTGTTGTTGTGTTTTTTTGTAGGCCGGGTACCAAACTTGCTTTTGATCTTACGTCGCTTCTATTTCCTTTCAGATGTGCCAAATTTCTCTGACCCACACATTCCAGTAGTGGCTCGAGAGATCCTTCACAGAATGATCCGACAGTTCGCTGCCGAATATACCTCAAAAACCAGCCCCCCTCAGGACAGTGGCTCTGATTCCCCGCCTTGCTTTGACCAAAGCCTGCAGACCCCGCCCTTGCTCTCAGGGGCTGCTCCCTCTACCAGCCCTGCCAGGCCTGCACACAACCAGAACCCCGTCCTCAGCAAGCTCCTCATGGCCGACCAGGATGCTCCCCTTGACCTCACCATCAAGAGGCCCCTGGCTGTGCCTCGTGAACAAGGTAGTGTGAACTTAAACACATCTGTGACAGGGCAGCTGATTCATGCAACAAGTGCACTGGTAAGACGCCAGACTAAACCTAATTGAAACTGAATGGATTTTATTTTTCTATCTTTTTTTAACAGATGGAGTTCTTGATTTGTCTATCAAAAAGAGTCGCTGTAGCAGCAGCAGCAGCCTGCCTGTTCGTAGTCCCTGCCTTTCTCCAGCCACAACCACACTCAAAGGGTAAGATGGCTTTCTTTTTCTTTCTCGCTTTAGGATATGTTACATTGTAGTTTAGGGTAACTCACAAAATAGATTTGGAATGATCAGTGGCATTAATGCGCGGGCCTGAAATTTGAGCCCTGAAATTGGAGATCACCCGGCCAGTTGATGGCTTGATAAAATGAACAGCCAGTTGGTGCCTTGATGAAAATGAACAGAAACAAACAAGGTTGTGCTAACAGAAGTGTTTTTCGCCACAAAGAAACATGGGAAAGCGCCATCTTGTTTTTGATCATTATTGTCTGGCCGGCCTGATGAAGATGATGATGATTTACTAAATGACTTGTAGCCGTGCTATTATTATTGCATCTTTCGACACCTTTTGTCCCAAAAGTCCTCCTTGAGGACTGTATTCCTGCATACATTCAGTAGAAAGTAGATTTTTATTCAAACAGAATCCTCAGAGACTCTTGATTCTCAATGACGTGGTTGCCATGTTCCTCTCCCAAAGGAAGGATTGCGTTCAGTGGTTTTAATCTCAAATAGTAAGCATCGCTTGTACGTCTGTTACTATACTGATAACGCGAGTGGTTATCATATCGTACACACTTCAGATAAACATGATGCCAACATGAGCATAGTCACTCATACCAAGTATTAGAAAATATACAAACCCTCTAATGTTGCCATCCAAATCAGAGGGCTGTGTTTCCGATTTAAGTTGCATTCTCTGTAGACACATTTCCATTTTACCTAGTTCTTACTTGAACCAAACATTTGAGACTATCTGTATCTAAATAGAATTCATTTTATTTTGTAGTTTTGATCTTTTTTGTTTTCCTTGAGAGCAAAGCCTCTTGATACTGTTAAACCCATCTGGCCTTAAATATGCCTATAATTAAATTTTGATATGGATTAATTAAGCACCAGTGGTGTTGCATGCTCCTCTTCTGCTGCTTTGATAGCTGATAATATCTAAAAGTGATGATCATTCCTGGCAGTATAAAAATAAATACCATCCCTTTTTAAATAATCTTTTTGATAATTTTTGATCCAACTGCCGGATAGATTTTTCTTCCTAATGAATAGTGCATTTCTTTCCTTCTATGTGATCACACTTCAGTTAGGCTTTGACATTGATACACACAACCCTCTACTGGCTTACTCTTTTATTTCTGCGCTTGTTCGCTGGTAACGTCATACACAAAATGTCAAGCTCTTTATTTGCATTAGCCATTTTGTATGACATAGTTGGTGTGCCCTGCTTAACAGCTACGTGCCAAGCTGCCTTACTGCAATGACAAATATTGCCTCCTTCTGGCTCTGCTTCTTGAGCCAAGACCTTTTTATGTACTCCAATAAATGCCTTTTTCTTTGCTTTTGTTTTTATTGTTTCTTTGCCCTTTTTTGTTTCTTACTTCTTATGTTGATGCAGATTTTGTAAACTATCATCCCAGCAAGCCAATAAAAAATTGTCAAACGTGAGCCTTTTTTGTTCTTAAAAGTCCTATATACACAACCTCGCAGTCAGCTATTTTAAAAGATAGTGATGTTACCAAAGCAAGGTCATATAATAAAGGAGTGGCCAACATCCTCCCCTCCCCAACCCATCCTCCTTTAGAAAAGAGAAAAAGGCACTGTGCAAGCTCTGCTTACACCCAATTTCCTTCCATCCAATCAGGCGATCCTTGAGAGCGGACGGGCAAGTCGGGCTGTTTATGAAGAGCCTACAGGATGGGAGGAGGAGGGAGAATATCGGCCACTCCGCCCGTTATAAGCCTTCCTCGTCTCTTGCATACGCGCTGCACATCAAAGAGGAGCCAGATCTGGAGAGCGACCCAGAGTCACCTCTCAGCCGCGGCTCCAGACCTGCTGACCTTTTCAAAAATGGATCTGCTTCCTGGAATTCCAAAAGTCATTTTGGGGCCCTTCTCAAACTCAAAACCAACAGCGAGGCTAGTGAGCACCTTAAAGACATACCCAGGTTGTTGGAAGCTGCTGGACTTTGGTCAAAGTCACTTGCCTATGAGAAAGGAAACCTCCAGGAGGCCTGCAGGGACCACAGCCTCTCACTTTCCCAGTCATCATCTTTCGACCTCAAGATTCCCCAAGTGCGAGTTTTGGCGACAGACCCATCTTGGGATTCCCTGTCCACTGTGTATTCAGGATTAGCTTGCGAGAGCAGTCTGGGAAAGGCACTTCGCTCCATTCTACCGAGGCAGATCCAGAAAAAGAGCAGTGGAGGTTTTAGTAGCTCAGGTTCAGAGAAGGAATACTGGCCTCAGGACACCGATCGCAAAGCCTTGCGGGGAAGCTATGCTCTGGATTCAGAGTCAGACCTGAGTAACAAGCAGCCGAGGAAGAAGCGTGGGCGATACCGACAGTACAACACTGACCTGCTCGAGGAGGCTATCGACATGGTGATGGGGGGGAAAATGAGTGTGTCTAAAGCCCAAACGATCTATGGCATACCACACAGCACCCTGGAATACAAAGTGAAAGAGCGACTGGGGACCTTAAAACATCCCCCCAAAAAGAAGCTGAAGCTGATAAAGATCGAGGAGCAGAGTGTTTCTCAGTCCCCGGGGAGGAAAGAATTAAAGCACATTGATTCTGAGAAAAGAGAGAGTGCATCTGAAGAGAACGGAAATGATTTCCACGATGGAAGCCTCTCATCAAATGAGTGATATCATCGTAAAGTACTTATAAACATGTACAGATATTGCATTTGCCAGACAGTGGTAGTAGCTGAATTGTTTTTCCATACAACCTTTAGTAGTTGTAACGTTTCGACCAAAATAGCGATATTTATTATTAACTTATTTCATTTTAATCACTCAAAATGTCTCCCTGCTCTACATAGTGTGCCTGGAAGGCATACTTGCTATTTTGAAATTCTAATATACTACATTATATTGTTAATTCCTTTCAGTTTCAAAACTGTCATTTCCTGGCTGCATAAATGTATTATTAACATGCAGAATCAAATTGAATCATCTCTAAGGAAGTGGCGCCCCTCAGTGTCGTCTCACAGTACTGTTCAGAGCACTTGGTCATACGTTCAAAGAGTGTGTGTGTGTGTGTGTGTGTGTGTGTGTGTGTGTG